AGAGGAAGGAAGGAAGGAAGGAAGGAAGGAAGGAAGGAAGGAAGGAAGGAAGGAAGGAAGGAAGGAAGGAAGGAAGGAAGAGTGGTCTTTGGAAAAGCTATATGGTACAATGTTTGATCAGTTCCTAAGTGGAAGCTGCAGGATGATATTTTATTTATGAATGCAACATTGGTGTCAGTCAATACCACCCTGTTCTCAGATATTTGATTAAAGCCCAGCATTAAAATAACAATACAACGATCTTTCCTGTCACCACCATCAACACTAGCATGACAGTTGCTAAATACGACAGAAACCACAGTCGCCTTCCTTCTCTGATTTGTTATAACCATTATTACCGTGTGAGTGTGTTTGCGTGTGTGTGTGTGTGTGCGTGCATGTGCCTCATTGATCAACTGAAAACAAAAATCAAAATATACCCTGGATTTCATGACATCAAATGAAATAGGTTATGTGGCCGGTTGATTCATACGTCTTCTTATTACACGAGGTCAGGAAGAACTTTTTCAGTTTCTTTTAAGAATGATGGATTTTAATGGGAGGTGGGCAGGGGAGTCTGGGTGTCCCCCTCCCCCTGAAAGAGCATATTGAAAGACCTCTAACACTGAATAGTTGGAAGATAATAACCAAACGGTAAAAAGGTTCCTGCCTACATATACCACCCTGCCGCTGGCATTAATCCAGGCTTTGGGCGAATCTGAAATTTCCTAAAGATGTATTAGTGTCTTATACACATGTGCTCCTGTGCACTCATAATCCTTTTTACTGGCTTCTTCGTTGTATGCTTTGTATTTAAATTTTCCCTTCTGACCAAGTAAATCCCTTTGGATGAAGTGACAGCGGCTTTTCAGCACCCATAGCTGGGTGACAGCTGGTGTACAAGCTCTGAAAAGACGGCAGAGTGTTCCTCGCTAGCTTTCTTCAAGACCAGCGTCAACCACCAACTGAGCGATTTGTTAGTTCCTCCTTTAAGCATCAGTCAGCTGAAGAGGTTCATATTATATAGCGAAGTAATACAATAGCTATCAATATAAACAATATCTGCGCTCCCGGCTTTCAGCCGTGCTTTTAATTAGCTACTGAATTATGTGAACCTAGTACATTTTCATTAAACCCAGTGTAACCCTTTATTAACACTCTGTGAAGGACAGTCAGTCAGTTATAGGCTGGATTTGGGCACAGTCATTGAAAATCTTTGGCTTGAAAGGAGTAACCATCAGGAGTTTTTGAAAGAGGAGACCAGCAGTTAAAACATTGTGCTTAGAGGCCATGAGAGGGAAAATATTCTCTTTTTTCCGCATCCTCTCTCCATGTAAAATGTATCTCTTGAACATTCAATGACTAATATATTCTGTTCTTTCAGCCTAGATATGCTAGTTTTCTTTTTGAAAATCAGCAAGTTTTATTTATAAGTTGCTCTGGCGATCTGCATGGAAAAGCCATTCCCCAATTATTTTAGAAGCGGGCCATTCAAAAAATAGAAGTTTCTTGGATGAATTGTTCCTTGTAGGGAATTTCCAGTGGCAGCATGCAGAAATAGAGGTGCCCCTTTTGGCAGTTCTCAGTATTTAATCCAAAATCATTCTGTTTTTAAAATGAAAGATCACATTGTTCAAACTTTAACTTATGACGCATTTCTGATTCCTAGACTTGAGATTTTGTGGGAGGTGATGCTGCTAGGAAAGTCATGCATTTCAATCACAGGTAAGATGTATGAAACGAGCCATATCAGTTAACACTTACTTTTGTGATTTATCAAAACTGATGGCACCACACGCATCTACACATACACAAATATTTATAACAACATAATTGAGGGATATCAATGATCCTTTTAAAAGATTTTTTTTAAAAATGAGCTAACCTTTAATTTTTGATCAGCGGCAAATTTCACAGCAGCGGTACGGCATCTATGTGTTTATTTTATTTTTAAAAAATGATATTTTTTTACTCTATTTCTTTGAAAATAGAATGCTTTTAATACTAATAGAACAGAACAGAAACATTGCCAATTGACAATCCAAAATTAAATATTTTACACCTGGATCTCAAATCCATTATCTTCCAGCCCCACCAAAATTAGTATTACTACCTAATATTAGGAAAACAGGGGTCCAAACATGCATCCTGCAAGAATCTCAATGTATATCAATAGAAGATAATTTTAAAAATTATTTATATAGCCTACGATAAACATCTGGTTAAAGGTTGTATATAAACAGTCATCACCAATACAACTGGTGATCAAGAGAAGTTTTTATCTGAAGCTTTGACCTTTTCCCCACGTACGCTACATTATGGGGATAATAATATTAATAATTCCCATGATTATTATAAGCAAGCCCTAGTGAGAGAAACAATGCACTTTTAAGCTCAAAATATTCTGTAAAATATTTTATGGCGGTATTATTATTCCCAGATCATTGCTATTTTCTATCCATATCACTATGAGTCTGAACTGGAATTTTTAATAGCATAAAATACAGTTCTTACTGTCAGGTTTGGCATAGTTTGTAGACAATTCACACTGACAGCGTTGGGCTTTTAATAACACCAAGTAGTGCCTAAAATGCTCTTACTGCTTATTTCCCCCCCCCCCTTATACTTCAAAAACCATCTCAACTAGCAACACCTGTCCTATTCCAGATGTTTGAAAGGGAGGTAGAATCTAATTTAAGATGTTATCTCAGTTCCATACCTATTTCTTTCTCCTTGTCTTACTGGGATTTGCAGAAACGCTCCCTTAACACATTCACTCCTGCCTCTGAGACTGAAAACACACACGCACTAAAATTTCATCTTATTTGGGGAGGAGGCAGGATTAGCTCAGAGAATCCCTATTTTCCTAACTCATATAAGGAGACAATCTTGTCATGGGTGTTACTGGAATTTTCGTGTAGATTTCTGTATTTATCATTCCTGAATACAGGTGTGGAAATAAAAATGAAGAGAAGTTATAGCCAGAATTGGAGAAGGAGCCTGTTTGAGAATGGCATGATCCAAGCACAAATCCTTAGAAAGTTCAGATGTTGTCCTCATCATACTTAAGGATACAAACATAAGGATGAATTTTAAGAAGTGCTGAAATCAAATAAATGAGAGTTTCTACAATGGGCTTTAAGGAGTTGATGGCTTTGCATAGCCCCACTGTGTAGATATACTTCACACATTACCTGCAGATCCATATATACAGCAAAACATAAGAACAGGACAACCTCTGAATAGATATTACATGTGTACACTCCAGCACGTCCCAAAACACAAAATCACCTTTCATTTGAATCCATCATAGTTGATTTATTTTTATTCAGGGCAGAGACTGCAACCTCATTCTTTGTGCTTCATGCCATTTGTGGTAGTGAACATCTTTGCATTTTCATAGACACCCCCCCCCACACTTATATATTTTTTTTTCAAAAAGAGTTTTTAAAAAATCAAGAAAGGATTAAAAAAAATAGGGCATACCTGTATGTTTGGTGTCTGTTTACATTTTCTGTAATGTAGTCATTAAGCACACAACGTCGACTTAAAGGATGTCAAAACTGACAAGCACACTATGATTGATGATGCTGTGCTAGACTAATTCTTACCAGGTGCAGTGTGATGTGAATTCAAATGTAGCTCAGAGAGCTTATTTGTATTAGTAAAGTTATGCTTTGTCAAAGTTCTCCGACTTCTTTACCTATCAAATCCATCTTTTAATCCACAGTGTACTCTCCCCCTTCCGTTACCTCTTAGATCTGTGAAAAGTGCCCCCCTTCTTTCCAACCCTGCAACTAATTCCCCCCTGTGCATAGTGATTTGTTAAATAACCATTTGTCCAACTCTGTGAGGAAGAACTCCCTGAGTTGGAAATCTTTGGTAACGCTCAGATTGCACATGCTAATTTGCACAAGCATCGTCAGCCCTAAATTTTCTCCACATAATCACAACTGGGGTTCAGGTGAAGAGAAAGTACTACGGAATTGAGTAATACACGTGTATTTTTTTTGCCAGTTCTCTGATTTTAGCAGTTTTGGGGTGCTATTTTGATTATGAAAATCTCTACATAGAATAGGCAGGCAATGTCATAACTCCATGGAAAATGTAACTGAACTTGTTAATGTTCTTTTTTTTTTTTAATGAGGCGGTGCTTTTATTAAAAGTGGTGCATTAAAAAAGGATCCACAGCTCTATTATACATGCCTCCCATGATACCCCCCTAAACATCCTCAGAGACTACTCCAGAGAGTTGGATGACTCTCTAGAGCAGATTCTAACCACGTTTGAGCTGTTCAAAGGTTCTGTAATGTAATACTCGAAAGATACGCCAGTGAGCTGATTTGGCTTCATGTATACGTATTTCACTGACTACCAATTTGAATGACTAGATCGCATTGTGATATCATTTACTGCATTAATTCATTTGCTTAGGTCCCCTGTGCAACTGGAAAGCGTTCTCCTGGCTCTCAGCTGCACTACCCCCTGATGTCATTAATTAGCCAAATCTGATTGGCTATGCAGGATAGTGATAAAGCCTCACATTACGTAAAATGATGCATGACTGGCAGAGAGGGCCTATGTGATTAATCCAGGAAAGGAGGAAAAATATTTATTGAAAATAGCGGTGAAATAGCAATAGCTCAGAGAGATATGGGACAGACCAGGATTCTTTAAAATATTAAACAATGAATAAATACTTTTCAGGAAATATGTACATTCCACAAAAATAACTATTTGACTATTTGACAATTCATAAATTGGTATTAATGAATACTTCATGAAGCTCAAGTGTCATAAATAAGAACAAGTCCCTGTATGTTGTTCAGTGAAGTTAATGATTAAAGTAATAGTTGCATATTGCATTTCCTGGCACCACAACTTTAGGCAACTGCTTTGATTGAATTAAAGTCCATGAACCCTTGCCATTTATAAGGAATTCATTTCCCCATTAAAAAAAATCAGCTTTTGCCAAACCAATCAGCATTTTTAAATCAGCAGCAGCAGTGCTTAAGGCGGGTGGTTACTTGTAAAATATGTTTATCTCAGATCCATGGCAACAGCAATGCTTATATCATTCCTATGTGCTTATTGAAAGTGGCTTTATGTTTTCCCTGTGCCAGCAAGAAAGAGAGAAGTAGAGGAGGTAAGAAAAAAATTCTTCTTTAACTAATAATCTAAAATGAAAGAGAAAGATCATAAGACCAAAAGAATAAGAAATTGGAACTGGAGTTGAGGGCTTGCTTGCAAGAAGGCCAGGAATCAGTAAAGACCTCAGAACAAAGTTTTGAAAATAAAGAATGCTTCCAAATACTATTTATTTATGAATAGTAAATAGTCCCGGTGGGACAGTGCCATCCTCGACTTTTTTAATACAAAATGTCTGACTTGGCTATCGGTGGATTAAAATATAGAAAAATGATATTTCTTTATTTTAATATCCTGTTCTTGCAACATGTCCCAACAGACCCTACCTACTATGTCCCTCTTTATATTTTTCTGGTATTTCCAGAAAATCCACATTCTATGTTACTATTATATTGGTCACTAGAAAACCACATGCAAGCAGGTAAAATTACCAAGGTTCCATCCCTTGGCCAACTAACTTCAAAAAGGAATGTATAGCTTTAGAATTCAAGGACCAGTTATGGCCTCTGAAAGCTATGGATTCAGCCAGGAGTACCCACGGGGTATGATTGAAAAAAGTGAAGATGACAGCCACAACAGTGCAATCAGAACTCTGCCTGTTAGTTTGTTTGTTTATAACCAGCACCTTGAATTGCACCCAGACACTACTGAAAGCCAGTGCAGCTTGCAAAGTACAAGTGTTACATGGACACACCAAGGTGTACCCATGTCTACTTGTGCCTTGTATTCTGGAACAACTGAAGCTTGGTTGGTCTTCAAGTGCGGCCCTACTTGAATAGCTGGGGGCAGAGACGTACTGTACAATTGAGTATCATCAGCATACCGGTGATACTCACCCATGCCACCAGATAATCTCTCCCAAAGGTTTCATGTAGATCTTAAACAAAAGCAAGAAGAAGATATCATGGGATGGTATCCAACTGAATTGATGTTAAGAATTAAAGGAGTAATTTTCTGCATAAAGCAACAGTGGCTGAAAGAAATTTCTCAACTCTCCTTGAGCTGTTAGGGTTCTGTTCCAACAGTAGGGAGCAAATGGAGTCATTCTCAGAATAAGCAGAGTTGGGAGGGTAAAGCACAAGTTGCTACAGAAAGGACATCTAAAGAGTATGTGTGCTACAGGGTTGGTTCCCTCTAAGTCATAGGGGCAGGGTCATCTTCCCTCCAAAACTGCAGAGTTAAATGCGTTAACTTAAATGAGTTAAAGAGAAAGTTCTGCAGTGTCTTGGACAGGTAAAATCAAATAAGTAATGTGCTGATGTGAATGTTTCCTATTGATTCACTGCCAGTTTATAAATCTATTTGGAAATCTATTTGGAGTACTATGTATATCAAGGCCTGATTGCCAGATTGTAGTTCTAGGTCCAGTTCTAGCTCTAGGTCCATGGCCAAGAGGGCTTTACTTGAGAAACCACACTGGTGTAGGGCATTCTGAGTTCTAGCTTTCCAGGAAAGGAACAATTGTCAAAAAGGTTATGACACTCAGAGAATCTCTGAGCGTTGTTCCTTGGCATGAATGTTTCCTATTTATATACTGGCATATGTGGATCCTGGATTCCAAGGGGATCCTGCCAGTTTCTAAATGAAATGCTATGTTCAAAATGCAGCAAGGTACTTGTAATAGTGCTTTTGGGAATCTGGACTGGATAAAATCTAAGGGCTTTAAGTTATTGTATGCACATACCTGAGTGCCATGTAATATCTGAGAAATGGATATAGCTTTAAAAAGTTTTATTACAGTATGTACGTTCTTGCCTTCCATGGTATGAAAGAAGCCCAATATGGCCTTAGTGTTATTAGCCTTATCAGAAATAGATTTAATTTGTTTGTGCCAGATTTGCGAGAGTTGTAATACTGTGCCAATATTTGAAGGATGAAACCTGGTCTATAATATTGTTTATCTGCCACTTGTATTTGCAGCATCTCAGGCTTTTTTTTTCTGGGGGTGGGGGACATATTTTGCTTTTGGAATAGTTTATTGTAAGCCTTTCTTCCCTACAATAGTCCACAAAGGCCTGTCGTTTTCTTCTGAGGCCATCCTAAATTAGAGAGAGAGAGAGAGAGAGCATAGCTATATCGTCAGCATAAAGAAGCAGAGCCAGCTGGCTATTATAAGTATAGGGGAATGACATTATTATTTTTCCTTCATATTATTATACTTTCAAGAAAAAAGGAAACAACATCATGCCGATACAAATACACAGTTTAAAGAATATAGGAATATAGGAAGAAAATTAAAAAATAGCATAAGCAGTAAAATATGGGTGGATAACTATCATATCTCTAATAGCCAGCAGATCTAAAGTATTATAGGGCTAATGTATTCCAGTACCATTAACAAGGGGATGGAATGCTGGCTGGGTTAAAGTGGTGACCACTGAGTTCACATACATAAAAAAAAAAAATGGGAGGGTCAGAATACAACCTGTTTTACTCCTTTATGGATTGAGACATCTACAGTGACATAACCACTGCGATCACATCTAACTTGTTGATCTTAACTGTATGTTCCTGCAGCATTCTAATCAAGTAACTTTCAATCTACAGAGGAATGAAGCAGCTTCCAACCCAATTTTTCCCTTGCTGCTCCATTTAATATAGTGACCCCAAATCTTCAGATGATACATAATAGATGCCAGCCTGCTGTATTAACTCCCTGATTCTTGGAATTCTATACCTTACAATATTTGTCAGAACTTGCCGTTTGGAATTCTAGGTCTCAGTTTTCCAAAACACCAAATCTGAACACCTAAACTAGCCCCTTTTACAGAGGGAGGAATAATAACAAAATAAAGCACCACGCCTGTTCCTCACCAATCCCATCCATGGAACAGAAAGCTTGTTTAGACTTACCCAAAATGTCTAAAGTGTATGTCTGGGTGCTTGCAGTGAAGTCTTTAGATGGGAAACAGGGCTGTGTTTTACCATTAGCACCTAATCTGGTGTTAAAGTCCCCTATCACTATGAGACCAATGTTTGGATAGCATAAGATGAATCAGGACAAAATAGCTCTCCAATTTATCTGATTCAGCATTTGTTACAGAAAGCAACCTGCAAAGGGGAAGGTAGGCATCCCTAATTAAAATATCGACATCTGGCTAAGTTGATCCTTGAGGCTAATACTATGTGGTCCTCTTTCGATGGAAGTTGGAGACTATTCATCTCATTTTCAATGATAATAGAACATGAGGATGGAAGCCCTTTAGATACTGTTTGTGGAAAAGGGGAGATGGGAGTGCCCAGATTGCAATATATCCAATGGAAATCCAGATAAGTGGAGGTGAAATCAGTAGAATAAATTAGGTGGTGGATGTTTCCCATGGGATCCTCACCAAAGTTAGTTTGAGAGCTGTAGCCAATTTGGTTTGTCTGGAGCTCTGATTTGTGGCTAAGGGAAATACATCACATGGGTGAAGAAACATCAGTATTTGGTGGAATGTCTAAAGTTTGGTTTAGATTAATTAGTGAGACCAATTTAGAGGCGCGAGAAGGGAGAAAAGGATCTAGCAGGTGGGAGCAGTGTGTCATCTGTGTTACCATACCCTGCACCCTAGATGCTTCTCCTGGCTATAACAAGTCTCTGATTATGTTAGAGTGCTTGTGGGAGAACTCACTTATACCATTAGCTCTTGCCATCTTGTCTTTCAAGGGCACCAGCTGAAAAAAAGCAAGCAGCTTGTGAGCATCCATTTGAATTATTTCCCCAGGATTGCTGGTGTCCAGCAAAAAGTCAGAATTATCTAATTCAGTATTCCTCAACCTTGACCACTTGAAGATGTGCAGACTTCAACTCCCAGAATTCCCCAGCCAGCAGCCAAGGTTGAGGAACCCTGATCTAATTGATGAAAGCACAGTGTCTTTGGGGTTTGATGATTCCCAGTTGTCCTCGACCACCATTTTCTATTAGAAGTAATTTGGAATCTTCATTTATAGAATACTAGTGCAGCAAGGGGCTCTGTAGTCTCTTCTATCTGTTTTATTATCTGTGTAAGCCCTTCAATTTTGAATAATATCTCTGACTGTTCACCTTCAGCCATCATGCTGTAAGAGTTAATCAGTGTACTTTCAAAAGAACTAGGCAGTATTTTCCTGTGTTGGTAGAACATTTAGCTATATTCCCTGCTGTCAAGGTCAGAGATAAGGTAGAAGAAACTTGGCAGCTCTCCAAGTTAGACACAGCATTTTGGAATGGGTGAGCTGATGAAATATTATTAAGGAGAGGGCTCATGTTTTGATCAATGAACACCCAAGTGGGGATAATTCCCAAAAATTTCAAATAGATCTTCATTTTAAATGCATTGATGGTATTATTGAATTGCTAAAAAAGAACTGAATCAGACAGAACTAATTGATTAGGTTGATATAGGAGGACAGAGTCCTTGTTATTGTCTGGGCTCGAAGGAGTACAAGTGTTGCTGCTTTCAGGCTGCTTTATCAGTTGGTGGGATAACCAATGCAGAAGCTTGTTGAGGACAATTTGCTTTCTGCAGCTCTGCAAAGGAACCTGTGTAGGCTTCAAATATTTTCTTCAAAGCATCCATCTTTTGAGAGAGAGTTGTTAGCTACTCAGACAAGGCTATTATAGTCTGAACAGTTAAGCCAAACAAATCTGAAGGGGGTGTGTGTGATCAAGGTGTTATTTAACTCTTCAGCTGAAACATCATTAGAGGCATAGGTATAAATAATATCTTCCATATGGTCAGTATACTTAACAGAGGCAATATTTTCTTGGAAGTCATCATTCCATGGGAGCATTATCCTCAATGGGGAAAACAGAGTTTGGCATGTCTGTTGATTGCTGGGGCAGGACTTCAAATCTGTTCATAGAATTCCAGGAAATTAAGTCCTCAGTAGAAACCTTTGAGGTGAGGAGCTCATTAATTTTCAATTGTTTTGCTGCCTTTGCTGGTTTCAAAATCCCAAGGCTGGTTCTGTATTTCTTTTTCCTTCCCTGAATTGAAGATCAGAAATTTAAGGTCATAAAACAAGTAAAATATTTAGGGTAGGGTAGGGTAGGGTAGGGTAGGGTAGGGTAGGGTAGGGTAG